CTGACCTTTCCTACTTCCCAGCCCACCAAACTTCCCCTTTTAATGGAAACTGTTACATAGCTCCCAGGCACCAGCCCTGGTATCTGCACTTCCTACTCAGACCAGGTCCCCTCCTCTTCTGCCAGAGGTTTACCAGGAAGGGCCAGCCACTGTGCCATGACAGCTGTAGCCTTCTCCGTGAGCTTCTCCTCTGGCACCAGCTCGTCCACGAGGCCCAACCTGTGGGCCTCAGGTGCAGGGTGGAGGGAGCCCAGCTGGAGGGAGCGTTCAGCAATTCGGTGTCCTACAACATTCACAAATGTGTCCTTAAACCTGCAAGAGATGGGAGGGAAAGCCACACTCAGGGGCAGCTCACCCAGACATCAAGAGATGACAGCATCCTGGTCCCACTCCCCAGGCTCGGGGCTCTGAGAGTATCCTGGTCCCACTGCTCAGGTTTGGTGCTCTGAACAGCAGCAGCGGGCTCAGTCACGATGTGAAAATGGTGTGAGAAGAGCCATTTTTGGTAGTACCTCAAGAGAGTTCCCCCTCTGCAAGAAAGCTGCTCCTTTTACTTTCACTGCCTGTGGGTACCCCCTTGCTGTGACTGAAAACTCCTTCCCAACAGTACATTTATATGTTCCTAGGGCAAACAAGGGGCCCTTGGTGTGTCAGTATCTTAGTGCCCCCATGCTTTCAGAGATCTCCACACCACGGGATTCTGCAGGTACACAGTGTGTACCCAGAGAAAAGCCCCGACTGAGCCTGACCCATGAGATCTCCCAGCACTAGTTCTGGAGTTAATTGCAGGGCCAGAAATAAGCTCCTTGTTGGTGCAGGATGTGAGGACATTCTGCAGCCTGAAAGCTTTTCAGATACCTGCAGGACAGGACAGAAATTAGGTGTCATCTCCTGCAGCTACAGCTGCAAATACCTGATCCCTGACACACAAACCACACTGCCATGACCAGTTGAACTGACTAATTAACTCCTTAAAGATTAACTCTTTCTAGAGACCTACACATGATACTAGAAGTGGGAGGCACTGGCCTACCAGAAGGGAGCCACAATGCCCAGCTGGGCTTCGTTCAGGCCGATGCTGAATTTGGGGTTTTCTGCCATGATCCTGTAGTCACACGACAGGGCAATAAGGCAGCCCCCAGCTGGGCTGGACCCCTGGCAGAGAGAAGGACAGAGTGAGTCCAGGACACGGTTACAAACACCCCCCAGCCTTGCTGATCACTCCAGAGTCCGGAAGATACCAGGAAGACAGAGCAGATGATCCCCAAATTTCTGATCACCTGATTCGAAATAGCCCTAAAGATTTCTGAAGTTTATAAAGGTTTCATAGAAGGGTTGGAAGGCACCTTAAAGCCCATTTCATTCCAAGCTCCCTGCTACAGGCAGGGACACCTTCCACTAGATCAGGTTGCTCAGAGCTCCATCCAGCCTGGCCTTGGACACTTCCAGGGATGGAGCAGCCACAGCTTCTCTGGGCAACGTGTTCTAGGGCCTCACCCCCCTCACAGGGAAGATTTCCCTTCCATTTGTGACCATCTTTTCCACGGCTCAGTGCTGCTCAGCCCTGCACAGGATGCCTGAGAGAAAACCCAAGTGCCTTCAATGGGGGGCTGTGGACAGACACCACCGTGAGCTGCCAGGGCAGCACCGCCCTGGAAAACGAAAACAAGACACCAGAAATGTAATGACCCATCCATGGACACGGAGACTCCAGCAGCACTTCCCTGTTGGCCAAGAACCCCGGCTGGAGGAGCAAAACCTGCTGGAAATGCTGAAATGCTGCTGTAACCCAACAGTGTCTGCAGCTTACACAGAGCCTGCAGCATCCCACGCTTCCATAGCTTCCCACACCCCACAGAACTGAGAGACATGAATTTCGCCCAAACACCCCAACAGAGAGATCCCTGGATGAATTTCAGCCTGGCTTTTCAGCTGTCCCTGCCCACACAGTCCAAAGAAGTTGCAGCAGGTGACAATCCCACCCTAAGGAAGGCAGGCCCAAAGGACTTACATTGACTGCAGCCACTGTCACCATGTTGGAGCCATAGAGCCGGAGCCACATCTCCTGCACGGCTCTCCAGAACTCGCTGTAGTGCTCCACGCTCTTCCCACACATCTCGGTGATGTCCAGGCCAGATGAGAATATTTTGGGAACAGCCTGGAATTGGGAAAAGACAGATGTCAGAGAGTCATGGGGAAGGAAGGGCCCTTTAGCTCTTGGCCCAGCAGCTTGAGGGAAGGGAAAGTGATGAATAAGTGATATAAATCAGGGCTTTTTGGGGTTCTGAAAATATTTCCCCAGTGCTCCCACAGTCTGGATTATCCCACTACCATGGCCTGAAGTGCTGGGCCTCAGCGTGCAACACAATTTCTCATTGTCAGGGTCCCTGTGTGAGAACATCAGCCACACAACACAAAAACCTGTCCTGTCCCACTCCCAGGCACCACTTTGTCCCCACAGCACATCTGAAAATAAGCACTGGCATCTCCCACCAGTTCCCTGTGGGTGAGCCAGGAAATATCACAGGATGTGTCAGCTTGGCAGATAAGCAGATTTGATTTTCATGACAAAAACAACACTTTGTTGTTCTTCTACTAGAAAAGGGAACAGAAGAAAGATCATGGCCCTTCCAAGAGCCCCCTGCCCTCCTCCCAGAGCAAATCCAAGGTGCCTGGGGGCCCTCCTGTGCCAGTGAGCAGTGACCCAATCGGGGCAAACACTTACAGAGGTGATGATCACACCCCGGCAGGCCCGGTTGTTCTCCAGCTTTTCCAGGCCTATGGAAAACTCTGTGAGGAACTCCAGGCTGAGGCTGTTGACTGGGGGACTCTTGAACTTCATCATGGCAACGCCTGTGCAGGGCAAACACAGGGACATCAGACTCCACCCCACAGCAGCTCACACTGCCCTGCCCAGGGCAGCTTCACCCACCTCCCTGTTTCCCTCACCAAACTGTTTTCCCACTCCAAATCAACAGCACTCCTGGCTACTTAAAAGCTTCCAGAGCCAAGGGCAAGGTCCTGTCTTGGCCCAGATCCACCCACGAGCCAGGGTCACTCAGCAGGTGGTGGAGCTGAAGCACAGACCAGGCCATGTGTGGTGGCACCCCACGTGTCCCAAAGCCCAGTCACCCTCCTGGTCACGGTGCCCAGCAGTTCCCTTCTCTCTGGGCTCAATGGGGAAAGTTGAGCATGCAGCTTCTGTCACAGCAAACAGCCTGTGTCCAGGGGATCACAAAAGGGCTCTGAGCCCTTGTCCCTGCCCAAACTGCACTACCCTACCCAAAAGGTGCTCCCTGAGTGCTTAGCCCGGGTGCTGCAGCCATGCTCAGCTGGGAACAGCATAAGGACACAGCCTGGCACCTGAAAGCAGGACCTGGGAAGCCACAAGATGCACCTTTGTTCAGTGCAGGGACATGGCCCCGTGACAGCTATTCCTGGTAGCCAGATCACAGAAATTCCCAGCAGCTTTTCCCTGATGGAGGACTGCCACTCTACCAGGTGCCCAAACCAGGGACCCCCAGAGAGGGGACAATGCACAGGCAGAGGACAATGACAGCCAGGATCTGCCTGTAGCACCGATCACCTGAAGTGCCCACAACTGGTGAGATTCCCAGCCCCAAACACTTCTCCCCGAGGCTCCTAAGCAACTGCAACATCTGGGGCTTTGATGACTTCCCATGCCCAGAGCCACACGTGCCATGGGACAGGGATGGAAGGGACCCTGCCCGTGGCGCACAATGCCCGTGGGTTGAGGGTGACAGCACAGAGGTGCCACCCGCCGTACCTGAGCTCTCGTCCAGATCCACCTGGATCTTGTTGTTGCTGAAGGAACGACACGGGGCGAGCGGGAGGCCAGGGGGCTGCAGGGGGCCGGGGGGCGGCCGGGCGGCCCTGTCCCACGCTGGGGGGCGGCAGCACAGGGGCACCACACCTGGGGGACACACACAGGTAAGGACGGGAAGAGTACAGCCCCCACGGGTGTGGGGTGCGCTCCCCAAAACCGCTCTGCACGGGCAGGACGGGACATGGGAACACCCTGACCCCCTCAGGGAGGAAGGATATAGAGATAGCTATAGAGATAGCCCAACCCACGGCAGGGGGACACATTGAACACCCTGACGGTAAGGGGTACCCTGGCGGTAAGGGAGGGGCACAGAGAGGCAGCGGGGGCTCGGGGACACGCCGAGCCCACCGCAGGGAGCGGTCGGGGCAGGGTCCGGGCGCACCTGAGCGGCCGATCCAGCGGGCGAGCGCCACAGCCGCCATCTTGTGCCGGGCTCAAGGGTACGGGGCGGGGCCTGTGGGGGCGGGGCTCAGGAAAGGGCGGGATCCCGCTGACCCGCGTTGAAGCCCCGCCCACAAACAAAGCTCCGCCCACCGGCTGCGCTGCGGCGCGCACGTGCTGCCCCCTCGTGGTGGCCCTGCCGCATCGCCCCGTCCGGCCGGCACTGACCACTCCGTCCTACCCGCCCTGTCCCGTCCGGCCGGCACTGACCACTCCGTCCTACCCGCCCTGTCCCGTCCGGCCGGCACTGACCACTCCGTCCTACCCTCCCTGTCCCGTCCGACCGGCACTGACCACTCCGTCCTACCCTCCCTGTCCCGTCCGACCGGCACTGACCACTCCGTCCTACCCTCCCTGTCCCGTCCGACCGGCACTGACCACTCCGTCCTACCTGCCGTGTCCTGTCCTGCCGGCACTGTCCCCTCCTGTTCTGCACCCAGCCATGTGCCCAGGGTCCCTCACACACCTTTTCTCTCCTCTCAAGCGAATACCCCCGGTCCGGCCCCCGCCGCGGGACGCCGGAGCCCCGGGCTCTCTGGGCCGGGGCCAGCCGCCCCCGCACAGCTCTGGCCCGGGGATCGGCGCTGGGAGCCCCGGTGCTGGGCCGTGCCAGCGCTGGCTGCGGATCTCATCACGGTGGAAGCTGCCCGGAGGGACACCGCGGGGGCCAGGGCCGGCCTTGCCGTGCAGGCAGAAAGCGTCCGGCAGCGGGATGGCGGGGATGGCACTGCCCCTCTGCCTGGTCCTCGCTGCCGCCCTGCAGGGTGGCCTGACCCGGGCCCCGGGGCCCCCGGCCCGCCCCGGCCCCCTGCTCCTGCGGCTGCGGCGCCTGGAGGAGCAGGTGGGTGCCCGGGGCGGGGAGGGGGTGCTGCTCAGCCTGTGCCAGGGGGACACTCAGCATTTTGGGTTGGGCGGGGACCCGACATGGGGACATGGGTTCACTCCACATCATCCCACTCCCTTGCAGTTTCTTCGGCTGCAGGAGGTGACGCTGAACCATCTCCAGAGCATCGCCAGCAACTACAACATCTCCTACAACATCGATGGACGTTTCCAGGCACTGGCGGAGCAGGCAGAGGCGGCCGACGCTGCCCGGTCCGCCCTGGGTGCCGAGCTGGCCCGGCTGGCCACCGCTGGCCGACGGCTGCGCCGCAGGCTGAAGAGGCTGGAGGGGACAGTGGGTGCCCTGAGCCCGCTGCTCACCCACCCGCCAGCTGCGCTGCTGGAGGCTGGCACCAAACCGCACGGTCTGCCAGACGCTGCCCGGGGCCGGGGCAGCCAGCTGGAGCAGCAGCCACCGGCCCAGGCTGTCCCGTTGTGGCAGCAACATCGGCAGGAAGAAGGGCACTGGCTGCCGGCTGATGCCGGGCCTGGTGGAGCGCCCGGGGAGGATGAGGATACCCCTCGTGATGCAGCCCCAGGACCCCAGACCATGGCACCGGTGCTCCTCACCGGAACCACGGTCCCCCGGGAGCAGCCCCCGGCCCCCCAGCAGCCGGGAGAGGGTAGGTACCGTCCCCCCACCCCGGCGTCCGACTCCCCCGCCTGTCGCACCGGTGCCGTCCTGCTCTTCCCCAACTCCTCCGCTGAGCACAGGGCCGTCCTGGGGCTGGGGCCACAGCGGGGGCTGCGGGCGATGTCCCTCTGTGCCTGGCTGGCCACCCCAGCCCCTCGCCTCGGTCCTCTCCTCTCCTACGGCACCGAGGACGGGCACAGCGAACTGGCCGTGCACGGCCACGGTGGAGATCGCCCCGGCTCTGCACGTTTCATCGTTGGGGACCGGCAATTTCGGGATCTCCCGGTGGTGCCGCTCCTGGATGGCAAATGGCACCACCTGTGCCTCACCTGGTCCTCCGGCCAGGGCCAGTACCGCTTCTACGTGGACAGGAGGCTGCTGGCTGCCGGCTCCGGCTTCCAGCAGGGCTATGAAATTCCCGCTGGTGGCTCGCTGGTGCTGGGCTGGTGGCAGGACGGCCCCAACATGGACTTGGGCACTGCAGAAGGTTTTGTGGGTCACCTGGCTGGTTTCGCTCTCTGGAGACGGGCTCTCCTGCCTGGGGAGGTGGCCAGAATGGCGACCGGGCGGGGGCTGCCCCATGGCCCCCTCCTCACACTGGCCGATGCCTTGGTGCAGGGCGGGGTGCGGAGGGTGGCGTGTCCCTGCCTCCAGCGCTGCCTTTGACGAGGCTGACAGCAGGAATGGTGCCGGCTACCAGCGGTCACGGCTGGCTCATGGTGCCGTTCCCGACACGAGCTGCATCCGCCCAGCGTGATGGGACAGCCAGCAGGGAGGGCATCTCAGGACCAGCCCCACCAGAGGAGGGGAAAAGGGAAAAGGCAGCCAGTACGGCAGAGGTGGGACCAAAGCCGGAGGTCTCCTTCTCCTAAAGGATGTACAGCCCATCGTTCCTATTAAAATGCTCCGAACATTAGAGAAACCAATTTTATTTCTGTCCTGCTCATTCACTGTAACTCTCGGTGCCGCTCACAGGCGGGCAGGAGCTGCTCAGCACGGGCAGCCGGAGCGGGCGACGCTGCTCCTTCCCTGCCCCTGAGTCAGAGCAGGGGGAGCGGAGCACGGGACTGCCCGTGACTGCCCGTGACTGCCCGTGACTGCCCGTGACTGCCCGTGACTGCCCGTGACCGGGGTGAGCCAGCGCTGCCGGAGCAGCCGCCGCCGGTCCCGTGCGCTGCCCCTAGCCGCGGGGCTCCTTGGCCGGGCAGGGCTTTGGGCCGAGCTGTGCTGCTCCAGGGGGCTCAGGCGAAGCACGCTGGCTTCCCGAACGTCTGCTCTGAGGAATTCTGTGCCTGGAGAGCTGGAGCAGCGTCGGCTCCCGCAGTTCCCGAAGCCCCACGTTCCTGGGGACGGCGGGGTCGTGCTGCCGGCTGGGTGTGTGTGGGGCAAAGCCTGGAGGAGGCTTCGCAACCTCTCGGGCCGTCACCACCGACGTCCCGCTCAACCCGCCCCACCCAAATCTTAATCCTATTCCGTCCCGTCCCGTCCCGCGGCAGCTCCGGGCGCGGAGGCCTCACCGGAACTACAACTCCCATGATGCTTCGGAGCGCCCCCGGCCGCCCTGACGGCCACGTGATGGCGGTGGCGGCGGTCACATGACCGCGCGGCGGGGCAGGCCCGGCGGAGGAGCTGCCGCCGCCGCCCCGCATGGCCAACGTCGCCAAGAAGGTGTCCTGGTCCGGCCGCGACCGCGACGACGACGAGGACGGGCGTGCGGGTGAAACCACCCCGCTGCTCAACGGTACCGGCCCGGGTGCGGCGGGCAGCGGCCGGCAGGTGGGTACCGCCCCCGGGAGCGGGGGGCTGTGCGCCGGAGGGAGCACGGAGAGGGCTGGGGCCGCGGGGCGGGGTCGTGTCTGCGCCCCCCGCACTCCCCGGTCGCGTTTAACCGCGTTCGTTGCTCCGGGGCTGGGCGGGGGCGGTCGGGGTCGCTCCGGGCTCCCGTGGGCTGGGAAAGCAGAACCTGTCGGGACCCGGCGCGGGGAGGGGCCGGGGGAGCCACGGCCGGGGCACTCGTGGGGGAAAATCTGAGCGTGGCACTGAGTCAGTGCCCAGCCGGCAGCGGTGCGGGCCGGCTCCGTCCCTGCTGCAGCCCCTGGCCGCTGCTCCGCCGCCCTGGGACCGTCCCTGGCAGCAGCAGCTTGCGCTGAGTCCTGCTCCTGCCCGCTGGGGCTGCTCTCCTCGTTCGGAGAGTCATGGCTTGGGTTAGAAGAGACCTTAAAGCTCATCCTGTTCTACCCCCCGCCGTGGGCAGGGACACATTCCACTAGACCGGCTTGCTCCAAGCCCTGTCCGACTTGGCTTTGAACACTTCCAGGGACAGTACAGCCACCACCTCCCTGGGAAACCTGTGCCAGGGCCTCAGCACCCTCATAAGGAAAAATTTCCTACTGACATCTCATCTATTCTCCTTTTGTTCAGTTTGAAGCCATTCCTCCTTGTTCTGTCTGTATCTGCCCATGAGAAATTAAATTGTACTAAATGAATTTCTGCTAAAAATGTCTTTCTGTGGGAGCCTGACATGCTGCTGCTGCCCAGATCCACAGGTAGGGCTCAGGCACAAGAGCCTCTAACACTGGAATTCTGGAGGGTGTCCTGTGGGATGCATGGAGCTGCACTGGCAAAAAGCAGGTCCAAGGTGGGCCGTGTTAAGAGGGAGGCCAGCTCCTTCTAGCAGGTTAATTTGGGGTAATTAAGAGAGGAGAGCTTCTCTCCAGTGTACCCTAGGCTGCCTGCCTGGCGGTCTCTCCCCCACATGCAGCTCAGTGAAGAAAACTGAGGCACTCAGCACCTGTTCCAGAGTGAAGCTGAGGGCAGGAGGGCTCTGCTGGGCTGAGGTGTGGATGGGGTGTCAGGATGGGACCATGGAGCACTTCAGTGCCAGCACCAGGTGGGACAGGCATTGCTTCCAGGTGGCATCCTTGAATTTCCTGTGCAGAGTTTTCTGGGAGACTTGAGCTTAGGGAGGAACAATGCCAGATTCTGGCAGCTGTTAGCAGGGATGTCTCACCCAGCACGATTCTGTGCTGCCCTGATCCTGGGCAAGTCAGAACAGTGGGCTAATTAGAGGGAAATGCAGGGCTCGTTAGGCTGGAAGAGCTTTGTGTAGTGCTCTGGGAGCAGGGAATGGCAGCTGGAAGGAGGCAGCTGTGCTATGGAAACTGTTCTGGGGTGAAAATGAAAGTAATCCTCCTGGGCAGTGCAACAGGACCCCAGATATTTACAGCACATAGGGAATTCTGTGGGTTTGAAGGGTGTTAGAATAGGGATTAACCAGATCTAGTGGCTGGGGGTCATTAGGAAAGGTGGTTTGGAAGAAGCAGGGGCAGCTGGAGGTGGACACCCAGCCCTACCAATGTGATTTATTGTCACTGTGTCCCTTCACAGTGCAGGCAGCTCAGGTCTCAGCTGGTGGCATGGTACTGCGTGGCATTTAACTTGGCAGGGGAGGAGAGGGAATACCCTCCTGGAGCTGCAGACCACACGTGCCCCTGGCAGTGGCAGCTGGGTTGTCACTGTAGGGTTGGGGCTGTATTTTGGTGTTGGGCAGCTGCTTCTCCCTTTGCCCCAGATGACTTTCAGTCGTGTGGGTTGAAGCAGGAAGGCAGGACAGCTTTGGCAGAGAAATAAAGAGAGGCTGGAGCTGCTTAGCTCAGGAGAGATTTAAACCTGGGTTGTGGTAATACAATAAAAATGTCCCCTAGCAGAGCTTCTTCTCTTTCTCACATGCCTGTTCAATGGAAATGAAAGTGATCTTAAGGTGACCAGAGGAAACACGTGTCTGTAGCTCCCCAGCTGACAGCTGTGAGGGACTGAGGTCGAGTTCTGGTGGGCCGGAGATGAGGAGAGCCTGGATAAACATACCTGTGGCCATAGAGGGGGTGTGAGGGGTCTGTCCCTGAGGTTTCCTGGGGTGTGTGGCCAGCTGAGCTGACTAAACCTTCATCCTCTCACCAGGGCTTCCTCGAGCATACCAAGAAGTGAGAGGCAGCCTGTACCTCTGAGCATCACGCCTGCTGTGGGCCGTCCCTTTCCTGTGTTCTCCAGCCATGTGTGTTGGTTCTCAGGCTGGGGACTGGGTGGAAAATCTTAGTAAGAGCAGCCAATTTCCATCATGAAACTTTTTTTGTTGAAGAGCCTTTCTCCTTCGCTACCATCAGAGATATGCTGTAAGATATTTGCCTTTGGGATTGATTTAATGCTCCTACTTTAAAGGCTGCCTGGAACAAGGGGTCACCATCATGAAGACCAGGCTGCTGCTGGGCAGGTTGTCCTTCTTAGCCCCTGTGTGTGTGTTTATTCTGCATCTCTGGCTGTTGCTGGTCTTTTTCTTTAATCTCAAGTAACAGGGTGCAAAAAAGTGGCCAGGCTGCAATCAAGAAATCTTGGTGGGAGGAGGCAGAAAAAGGGAAGTTTGGGTGCTGGGTGAGCCTTGATTCCTGGCAGATGTGCTGCAGATTGCACAGCCCAGGTTACTGGCAGAGAGGCTGCTTGTCCCTGCTCTTGTGAGCCTGGAGGTGACTGCCGTGGAGAGCCACTGCCCTCGAGTGGTGGCAGGAGCTTCCCTCAGCACGGGAACTTCAGGAAGCTTTCTGCAGGTTGCTCAGGCCATCAGGGACTGTGGCAGTGCTTCATCCTTGTGCTGCTCCGGTGCCAAGAGAAAGGCCAGGGCAATGACAGCATTTCCCATCCTCGTGGAGGCGTGGGTCGAGGAGCAGCTGTGCCCTGGGAGTGGCAGCAGGAGCCTGGAAGCAAAAGCGTGGCCAAGTGGTGACACCTGGGGGGAAGTCTGGGTGCTTTGTCCCCTGTGATGAGCCTGGAGGTGAAGAGCCCTGTTCTCTCCTGCTGTGAAGCGTTTTGGGGATGATGCTGGGCTGGTTTGAAGCCTGTCTTCAGCTGTGGCTGTGTGTCAGAGGAGGGGGGTTTCAAAAGCCCTGTAGCTCATCCCCCCCATTCACTGCCAGAGCTGTGACAGGGTTCTCATGCTGGTGACACAGCCTGGTCACCCAGGCTGGTACGAGGGGCAGAGTGTTCTGCTGCCAAGAGGGCCCTGGGGGCTGGAAATCCTCTTCCCTCCCTCCCACAGCTTCTGTGGGCTCCTCCTGTGGTCTGTGCTGGGCTTTATCTCATTGATAACAGAAAGTCACGTGCTGCCAGTTTGTTACTGAGCACAGGACAGTGACAAGGGGCAGTGTCTAGGGGGGGTCTCCTCATGCTGGGTCGTGTCCTGCAGGGAGGAGCCTCACTGGCTCATCCCTATGGAAATGGGCTGTGGAGCAGAGTCAGACCCTCCCTGTCTGAACCTGATGGTTCTCCAGAGCAATGCTTGGGGGGCACAGCTTGGTTGCTGTGCACACAGCCTGGGTTGGATCATGGAGTTAATGCATTCAGGGCATGAGTAGAAGGTGGTGGTTGAGATCTTTTGCTAGATTTTTTTCATGTTGAGGTTGATCCTCAATTTGCTCTTACTGGTCTCAGAGTGGGTGCCAACATGACAGAGGGGAGTCCCTGAGGGGACTAGAGCTAGGGGCTCTAGTCCAGTCCCTGTGAAGAGCAGATCTCTAAGGGACACATCCAGAGGAGCTCTGGGTAACTATTCTGCACCCTGTTTGGTCCCAAGTTCAGTGTGTCACCAGCCACAGGGTGAAGGTTTGGTTCTGATATCTAAGCAGAAGTTCCCTTACTGCAGTTTATCCACTGCTTCTTGTCCCATCAATGCAAAGCTTCAAGGGAAGTCTTTGTCCCATCTGTAACTTCTTGTTGGGTGTCTGGAGATGGCATGAAGAGTTCCCTGAGAATCACCAGCTTCTCCTTGTATATCTTGCCATGTGCTCCTGCCCCCAGCTCTCTTGCTGAGCTCACTTTCTGTGCCT